CACACACACACACACACACACACACACACACACACACACACACACACACACACACACACACACACACACACCATAAATCAATCACTGCCAGAATACTGCACTTCAACAGTGCAACCGAGAGGAACAGGCACATACACATTTATCAAGTCTGTCTCTACATTTGCATTCCCTTTTTGGTTTGATCATTTGAATGTCAAATGTGGACCTTCGCTGCATCAAATGCTAATGGTTCAAGCGGCGCCAAAAAAATTGATTTATTCCTACAACAACTGTATCTTTAAACAGCACAAATTACTTCCTGAGAGTGTTGAGTTCTTTGGTTGCTTATCATGAATGCATTATACTTTTTCAACCTACTAAAGTCAGCTAAATGGAAAGCACAAAAAAACAGTGCCGACACCAAGCGTATGTATATTAACATTTAGACAAAGCTGAATATCAACTTTCGAAAAATGAGCCAGTGGAAATAAAAGATGAGCATCTGTCTGCTTACAATTCTTAAACTGCACATTGACCATGAACTACATTTGAAAAACAGAATTCCCATCATTATGCATGAATAAAAACGAAGAGCCGATGGGGGTGTTGTTCAGTGGTTATTTCACAAACAATGAGAAAATATCAGCCGTGTAGAAATTAGCAAAAAGAAGACAAATCAGTTCTAGTACGTCAGTAGGATAAATATGAAACAATAGATTAGTTTCACTTGCTGCCATTTCTAGAAGTCACACATTTCTTTGAAAATGCTTTTAGAAAAACTTGAGCAGCAAAACATACAGGATGAAAGTTTGTGTGTGTGGGGAGGGAAAGGGGGCGGGGCACAGTAGTTTAACATCAACATGACAAAGACCACAGGCGCTCAGTTTAGTTGACATGCGTGTTATCACCAGCAGCACTCAGACCCAGTGAACCTCCTTCAGACAGCAGCTGTTTCCACCTGAACAGAATGGATTCATGGACACACGATGGGCCGCATAATAAATGAGACGGGAGTCCTTAAAATCTGCTTTTTCTTCTCATCCATGTAGCTGTCCCATCTTGACCTTAGTGCCAGATTATCCCTTTGAGGGCTGAAATAACCACTGCAAGGAAGATGTCGACTATATCCAATGTGTACACACAGCAACTGTGGCGCAGGGGGAAAACAAGTCTATCAATCAGAGGGTCAGCCGTTCAATCACACCCTCATGTCAAAGTGTATTAATGTTTCTCTAAGTTGCTTTCGATAAAGTGTCTGCTAAATTAAATGTAATGTAATGTAAGTATGACCAGGAACCTCATTTAACTGGCGGATAATCCACACTAAATGTGGAAATGTACGTACACATGGCAATAAATATTCAAATGTATAAAAAAAGTTGCATACACCTACCAGTGCTACATTTCCTTTATAAATCCCAATTAATGCTAGTGTATGTGCAGGGCAGCCTGTCCGCCTACAAAAAACGACCATATAGGCCGATTGTTCATGCCCTTATTACGACCCAGAGACACGTTTTAAAGTGTATGTTGTTTCTTACACGACCACTAGAGGTGCTCTAGTGGTCGTGTAAGAAACAACATGCTCCCGGCCCGTTCATTGCAAACGCTCCGGAGGGACGTTTATTCACAAATAACCCTCTCTGGAAAATCCTAAATTGTGGAATAGTTTGGCCATTAAAATGTTTTTTGATTTGATTTTTGGCGAGAAGTGTATATTGTACTCTTAGAATCCACGTCCAGTCGATGTGTAGGATCTATAGTTTGATAG